ACACATATATTATATACAAAAAAACTTTTATTTTGGATGCGATTAATCACGGTTAATTGTTTGACAGCACTATTCCAATCAAATTATATATATATATATATATATATATATATATACATATATATGGTGTTATTCCGATCTTAATTTGCGGTATACATATAGGGTTGTGTAATACATGCACTATAAATTTTAGTAAACAAATTCAGCCTCAGGTTTGGTACACAAACCATAATTTCTAGTTCCTTATTTCAAAATAATAGAGCATAGGTGATGCACAGTACTGATATAATTTCTTAGACGTGGTAGTTTGATGTGACACTTGTGGGCTGACAAATCTAGATTAATGTCAGATATTTAAAAACATTTAAATGTATGGGTTTTCTTACATACACACACACACACACACTTAAAAATGTAAAGTTTATGCAAATAGTGATAGTGTTGCTGTTTCCCTAGTCCATTTGAAGTCCTATTTCAGCTCTGGTGTTCAGCCTCCAGGAAGGGCATTAAGTTTGATTTGTAAATTTAAAAAATTGTAAAAATGTATGAGGAGATGTTTGTGGTGTAATGCTCTGTTTAAAAAAAATGATTGACATGCTTTGCGAGTTAGATATGGAAATGGACATTTGTATCAGTGAATATGGTGGTTTAAGCAAATTGAAATGCGTTTTAAGAAAATTAAGTTTAGAATATGAGCCTGACTGCTGTCAAACGGCTAGCCATTACACATCACCTGTTTCAGGACCAACGGCCCATCTTTAATCATGCTTCTCAGTAGCATTTATATTTTGCTTGTGGGCTTTACTAATTGTTTCTTTTTCAAAATTTCTTGTTGAGTATCATCAGCATAACAGTGGAAACTAATCCTGTATTGTCTAATAATATTACCAAGGGGCAACATGTACATTTAATACAATTAAGCCGATTTATTTCTACGAGTTGCTCTTTACTGATAGACTGAGCACTTTGAAAGTCAATAATACCAACCCAACATACAGCCAAAAATTCTACAGTAACATCAACTCGTGTAGTGTATGGACAGCCAGAGAGCTAAAACAAATATTTCGATCACCTCATCCTCTCTCTCTCACTTCACATGAGCATATAATTCAGACTGTATCATTCAGAGAGCATCTGTACACAGAGTGTGTCATTCAGACCTACTGACCAACCATCAATCCTGCCATTTTCACATATACAGCAGACCACCCGGTTAGTCACTTTACAGCGCACACATTCCTTGCAATGTGTCCTTTGAAGCTTCAATTTAAAGATGTACAGATACGCCACATGCCTGTTGTGCCCCGGCCATTTTCCTCAGCCCATATCAGTCCTTCAGCTTCACAGACCTCTCCAAGTAAAAGCTTTCTAAAAGTAAGGAGGGAGAAAGAAACCGAAAATTACCAAAAGAGCACCAAAGACTTGAACCACACAACAGTGCACTTTGTCCACCCTGTGATTACAGACCATGAGTTGACCGTAGTGATGTTAGGAATTAACATAGAGGGTCCTGCTGTGAAATTAAACGCCCTATACAAAGCTCAAGTGTCGCAACGTTACTCGAGTGAGCCTTGGCTCACAATGAAGAAACACTGTGGTGCAAAGCATTATGGGAGATAATGCTACAGTGTAAGTCATTCGTGCACATAAAATAACCAGTCTGGTCCACTTACCCCATAGAGCTAAAGATATGTAAATAGGAGGTTTGAATAACAAAACCCACTCCAAAAGATGCTTAGAAAGACTGTTCTTCGATAAAGAGTTTGTGCATTCTTCTAGTTTTTATTTCATCAACAAAATTACTAACAAAATGTTTTGTGAATTTTTCTGTTGATTCATTTTTTTTTGTCAACAACAGTGAAGATGAGATTATTAATTTGGAAGAAAAACCTACAATAAATATGACAATTTCAAATAATATAATAATATTATAATATAAAATATAATATAATATAATATAATATAATATAATATAATATAATATAATATAATATAATATAATATAATATAATATAATATAATATAATATAATATAATATAATATAATATAATATAATATAATATAATATAATATAATATAATATAATATAATATAATATAATATAATATAATATAATATAATATAATATAATATAATATAATATAATATAATATAATATAATATAATATAATATAATATAATATAATATAATATAATATAATATAATATAATATAATATAATATAATATAATATAATATAATATAATATAATATAATATAATATAATATAATATAATATAATATAATATAATATAATATAATATAATATAATATAATATAATATAATATAAT